TATTTAATACCTCAGCCATTCTTTGTCCTTCCATGTGCAAATCGCCTTTTTGATCTCTCAACAGCCCTATTCCTATTTTAGCCACTCTTTTACTATCAATATACCTATAGAACACTTTGAGATTCCCCTTTATGTTGGCTGCCAGTCTTTTCTCTTAGATCCCCTTTGCTTCTACAGTATGCTTTCTCACCATGAGCTGCCTTCTTGAACTGTGACAGAACACATGCTGCAGATTAAATATATAGAAATACTTAAATATATGCAGTGACCTAGCCTCTACAACCTTCTGTGGTAGAGGATTTGGGCAGTGTGATGGCTCAGCAGTTAGCACTGCTGCTGCAGAGCGCCAGACCCTGGGTTCGATTCCAGCCTTGAGTGACCATCTGTGAGGAGTTTGCATGTTCTCTGTAGATTTTTCCTGGGTGCTCTGGTTTCCTCCAAAAGTCCAAGTATGTGTAGGTTAGATGGATTGACCATGTTAAAGTGCCCTGAAGTGTGCAGGTGCAGGCTTGATGGGCTGAATGTCCTCTTTCTGCCTGATAGGAATTGTATACTGCCCCTCTGAACCTGCTCTATTCTTCTCGTTTCTCAATTGTATTCACTACTTGACACAAGCACGCTTTTCCTTCTTCACCTGAAGTTATGAAAGATTGGCAGTTAACTGTCAAATACCATCTAACTGATCAAACTCATACAGTATAAACATTGTTCTCCCTTTACATTGTTAGTTCTTGCAAATTACCCTGATGAATGCAAGACCAAAACTTCAACAAAACAAGTCTTTTCTTAGATAACACAGTGTGGAGTTGGATGAACACAGCAGGCCAGGCAGCATCAGAGGAGCAGGAAAGCTGAGCACATCTTGCCTTAGATGTGGCACCCAGGACTGCTCACTATATTCCAAATGTGGTCTGATCAGAGCCTTATATAGCCTCAGCAGTACATTGTTGCTCTTCTATTCTAACCCACTTGAAATGAATGCTAACATTGCATTTGCCTTCCTGACTGTCAACTGAACCCGCCATTTTCTCAGCAATGTTCAAGTCGTGTACTACTAAAAGATGGTAGGTTTTAATGCATAAAATGTGATATATAAATAATGAGTTGTTGCTGTAAATATCTTCTGCATCCTCAATTGTCATCCTTCCTAAAGTGTAGCGGCCAGAAACTGACACAACACTTTATCTGGGGACAAAAGAGTAATTTACAAAGGATTGGTCTGACTAACTTACTTTTACTTCTGCATGTCTCATTCCATAAATTACTGAGCAATTCACAAGCTTAAAAGTATATCAGACTTTCTCTCAAGCTTTCTGCCTGTAAAATTCAAAATCAAACGGATGCAATAACCACCAACATAGGCAAACATTGTGGAAATAAAACTTAAAACCTTTGTGGAATATGTGTAATTTAAAGGAACAATGATGCAACAAAACACACAGAACTACTTCATTTCTGAAACAGATGCAAGTTTGTCTATGTTTAACAAGTCTGGAATATCACCAGAAAATGCTGGAAAAGTTCAGCCGGTCAGGGTAGGATCTGCTAAGGATTTCCAGTATTCTCTGTTTGCATTTCTGACTTCTCTGCAATGCTCTGCCTTAGATAAAGGCAGGATTGTTTTAGCTGTGATGTTGTATAAAAATTGATGAACTTACAATTCGGAACTGCATCAAGGTAATAGTTGCAAATGTCCATGAACTAAATCTCTGCAACAATCCCCATCATCAAGGGAACAAGAAACAACTAGCAAAATGTTCTGGAGAAGAGTAGCATTCGACATGAAACGTTAACTTTGCCTCTCTGTCCACGGATGCCGTTGACTTCCTGTGTTTCTCCAGCACTTTCTATTTTCATTTGCAAAATAAAGTTTCATCTTGTATACTGCTCCAGTTCCCTCGATAGTTGCCTTCAGCTGACTATGGATGGGAATGCCAATATCTTACCCTGAGCTCCTAGTTCCCTCTTTCATTATTTTCTCTCATATGTGTCAACTGTTTCTCTATTGCATGCTTGCACCTAATTTACAAGATTTTGGTTTGAAACCAGGTCTCAAATACCAAATCCAGGACTGACTCTCTGGTGGATGGAGAGAAGGAGTGCCGTACTGTCAGAGGCACTGTGTTTTGGATGAGACATTGCACCAAGTTCCCACCTACATCCTCAAGTGGAGCAAAAGATCCTATGACATTATTTAGTGGCTACAAGAGCAGATCAGAAGCTAGGAATACCGCAACAAGAAATGCTGGCCAGCCAGCATTGCCCACATCCCACAAACAAATAGAAAAATACATTTTTGAGGAAAACTGGCATGCTATCCCCGATGCCTTGGCCAATATCTACCCCTCAGTCAACAACACAACAAAAACAATGACCTGATTGTCCTCACATTACTGTTTGTGGGGTACTGCTGAGCTCAAATTAGCAAGCTTTTTTTCAGATGTCTGGTTGCTATATAAATGCAGAGTTTCTTTTCTGTTTACTCCCCCTCTTGCATTTTGCCTCTAAGTCACATGTGAGCGGTTGAAGTTCAGGAAATTCACCCCAGGATTGCTGCAAAGACAAAATCTGCTGTAGCCTGCCTCCAGAATGTGAGGTAAACCAAGAAACACTTTTGCGTTTGTCAGTTGTTCTAAATGAAAGCATCTTGCGTTCATCTTCATTCTAGGGGTGTGCCTGGCCTACCATGAGAGTCAATACAACGCAATGGAAATCGGCCATGAGACAAGAAATGGGAAGATCTGGGCGTCAGAATATGGTATCTTTCAGATCAGTAGCAAGTGGTGGTGTGATGATGGAAGAACTCCAAACTCTGAAAATGGCTGTGGGATTGCATGTAATGGTACGTGAACTGGCAGAATTACTTATTAGTAAATGCAATTTAAAGCAAACGGTAATGATGTGCTAGTGAATAGTTAACCTAGTTTACACTGCACCAAGTTTCTTCCACACTGGCTTAAACGGGTCGAGAAATCAAACACGGTTTAATATCAGATGTTGATTGAAGTGACCATCAACCTGCCTTGATATCCTGGCCAACATTCTCCACTCAGCCATTGAAGCATAGACCCATTAACTGGTCATTCAGCTCATCATTACCTGATGTGATGTCCCAAAACCCTGACATATTGCCCGACCCAACTACACTAGCATTATCGCAGAGAAAGTACTTGCATGTGAAAAGAGATTTGGTTTTATCAAGCAACATGATAAAGTAATTTTAAAAGGAACAGAAGTATTTTCTGTCCTCCCATCTGCAGCAGAGTTACTCAATTGCTGGTATTTTCTACAGAAAGCCATGACTCTTCCACCCTTTGCTCAGACTGAGTACTTAAACCTGGATCTCCACAACATGTACACACCCCAACACGCAAAAGTCCAGCTGTACCTTGTCCACAAAAACCACCCATTTCACAATGTAGAAATTGCTAAACATCTTCTAGCTTCAGTCTTTCTAACCGTGTGTTGGAAGGAAGCTCAATATAACAGGTCAGTTGGTTACATTGGCCATTACTACTTGCCAGGTTTGCTTTGCTCCACAGAGCTCAAATTACATTGCAACGTGTGATCAAAGTGGATTCACTGCATGTGAATTCTTTAGGGATGCTTAAATGATACGGTGAGGCACTACCACTTCTGAAAATTGAAATTATACCTCCCTCATTCGCTGCTGTTTCCCCATTTATCATATAAACCCACTTCCTTCCAGTCGCTAACCACTCTGAAATGTTTGCCCTCAGTCCCTAATGTCAAAAGCAACAAGAAGAACACAGGAGAAACTCAGAAATTCTGGCAGTGTCTGTAGAGACAAAAACTTAATATTTTGAAGCTGACTCTTCTTCAGAACATCTTCTTCACATTACAGTTCTGAAGAAGAGTCATACCAGACAGGAAACGTTAACTCTGTTTCTCCTTCTACAGATGCTGCCAGACCTGCTGAGTTTCTCTGGCAATGTCTGTGATTATTCCAGATTTCCAGCACCCACACTATTTTAACTTTTATTCAGGTATTTGAGACCCTTAGGATCTTGCATCTGAGCTCCTTCTCGTGATCGATTAATATAAAACCATGTTTCTTCTCTTAATACAGAGCTGCTGAGCAATAACTTAAAACCTGACATTGAATGTGCTGCAAAAATAGTGGCCAAAAATGGAATGGAAGCCTGGTATGTTCAAGTCTTGATGTTTTTTCTTTCTGTCACTTTGTGTTTAAGTATTGAGGTTATAATTGTGTGATGGAATGCTGCTGCATCCAATTCAAGTACTTTGGTGGTACAATGGACACACACTAACAGTCAATTATAAACAGATATTTCACCTATCAGTGAGAGAGTGTTATAATGAGAGAATGTGATATAGAGTGTTCCAGTGATGTGTGTTATAGAGGGTTACAGTGTGGGTGAGTGATAGAGTATGTTTTAGTGAGGGTGTGCTCCAGTGAGGGTGTGTTATTAGAATGTTCCAGTGACAATGTTACAATGAAGATGTTTTGTAGAGTGTCACAGTGAAGAGTGTGTTATAGTATGTTACAGTGAGGGTGAGTTGTAGAGTTTTATAGTGAGGGTGTGTTATAGAGTATGTTAAAATGAGGGTGTGTGTGTTTTCTACAATGTTACAGGAAGGGTACACTTTGTAAATCATGTTACAGTGAGGGAAGAGCATGGTAGAGAGGGATAAAGCAAGGGGTTGTGTTTTGTGAATTGTTTCACAGTGGAGTATCTGTGTTCTTATAGAACATTCTTGTCCAATACCCTCTCCAGTCGCCAGCTGTGACAACTCAATCACAGGTAAGTGGCCAATTGCTGCTCATTATTAGGTGAGCGATGTGAGAGCATTAGGACCATGTAGCAGCCCATTCTACTGAGGCTCTAGCACAGTTTGAGGCTGTGCCCAAAGTGAAGAGAAATGCCTGGAGGAAAAGCAGTTCTGAATGTTGCAGAATTGTCTTCTCGCTGCATTAGGGTCAGTAGGAAAGACGCTACTATTGAAGGAGGTGAAAACATGTTGAAATATTTTTATTCCCACACCATGACTGGATGCTGTACAGTGATTGATTCCTGTTATTACAACTATTCGGTGATAGAGTTGCTATGACAGTACAATGCACCATTTCTCATCTTTCATTCTGTTCCTCAATCCCAGTTTATCTCTTGGGGATTGTTACAAGATTTGCCCCATCCTATGCACCAAGTGGGGACTATGGTGACCACATCTCCACATGTTGATCAAGTGTCGAGATCCTATTGGATATCACTGTTAGAAAGAGAGTTATAATGATTGTTAGAGAGTATGCATTGAAAATTGTTGTTGCAATAGATGTGTTTATCATTGTATTTATAGAGAAGGTTTTGTTACAGAGATATTTTCCAGCCCATTAATCTTCACCACAAGGGAAAAGGAGCAATGTCGTGGGGTCTGGTGAAAGAGGAGGAGAATGGGTTTAATCAGAAAGCTTTTTAGCATCGGAGGTACAGGGTAAAGGGAGTGAAACAACTAGATTTGCTCTCATCGAGAACTGACAAGCACACAAGATGCCAAATAACCTCTTTCTTTGCTGTTAGAAACTCTCTAATTCTGTTTGTTCATTTCTTATCATACAATGTATAGTTATTTATAGTTAGAAGTGCAGACTGACTGTGATTTCTGGATTCTAAGTTCATTGGAAAGCCTGATATTGTTCAATATGGTAGAATTTTGAGAGCATTCCTAAACATTGTGAAAGGTGATGGCTTAATTGTATTGTCATTAGAATATTAATCCTGAAGCTCAGCTAATGTCCTGGGGACAGATGGTGGAATTTGAATTCAATACAGGATCTAGAATTTATAGTGATTATAGGTTATATAATTCCTGGAATATACTGTTGAATGTTGGGAAAAACCCATCTGGTTCATTAATGGTCCTCAGGAAAGGAAATCTGCCATTCTTACCTGGTCTGGCCTACATGTGACTACAGTCCTGCAGCAATGTGGTTGATTCTTAATTGCCTCAATTAGGGATGGGCAATAAATGCTGACCTAGCCTGAGATACCCACACCTTGTGAGTAAATAGAAAAAGGCACATGCATGGGCAATGATTGCTGAGTGAGTTCTACATGAGTTATTTCACTCTCAGAAAGAGTCAAGACTTTCAGGAGAGGAGGGGAGTGAACTTTGAGGAGCAGGAAAACATAATCCCAACACCTTCAGTCACTAAAAAATTAATAAAGAGTTTACTTCTTGCTGACTGACCTCATGTTTCTGATGCTTTGGTTTTGCAGGAGCAGCTGGGTCGAAAACTGCAAAGATAAATGGATCAATTATTACACATACTTATGCTTCTGATAAGGATGGGAAAATTGTGTTGATCAAACCCTCTCACTTTTAAATATCAGAACATGGAATACTTCCAGTGCCTAACTTTGCATTGTTAGGACAGCTGAGAACCAAGTAAATAAAAGTTTCTGTCACAGTTTATTGAAATAAACACAAGCAAAAATCAAAACTAAGTGTTTCCCTCCATTAATTAATAGAAATAATTCTGGAGCTGAAGGGTTTAAGATGCAATGAAATCTTAATGAATTTGGGATCCTGTTCTAAGGCTTTGATGCTTTCTTAGGCCTGGTGGTACATGAGGCAAAGCATCTGCTTCTGTCTGTTTCCATGGCTAGTCTTCCTGAAACACGTCGCTGGTCCGAAACCAGAGCCTATAGATTAAAGGGAATCACTCCAAGTCAAACAGTGTGGACCAGGAGGCTGTCCCCCTCTTACTGCCTTGACAGGCAGGTTGGTAGGATTTCCAGGCAGATAGTTAACCTGTTTGACCACATTGTGGCATCTCCAGCAACCACCAAGTGGAATTAGAACCTGGAGCTTCTGTTCCAGAGGTGAGAGAGCCAGACCTACAAAGAAATGGCATAAGAGCAGCCACTGAAAGGGTGATATGTTGTGACGACTGTGAAGGGTGGAGTGCATTAATAACCAACTCCTATTGTGGTTACCACTGCACAATGAGTGTGGTGTTCATTCAATCATCAAAACAGCCAATTCCTTTTTTGTACTCCCATCAAAAATAAAACAAATAACGGCCAAGCGTGAATTCTTTAATGAACTGAAAACTACTATGTTTATTATTATGAATTAAATATATTCTTAAAGCCAGTAGTAACTATGAATTTAAATTTAGTAATTTCTATAATTAAACAGCTAGTGGCCATGTGAATGTAGAAAATAAGAGGAGGCTATTTGGCCTTTAGAGCATTCTTCACCATTCAGAATGTGCCAACTGCAGTTGGTGATCCTCGAGTAAGTATTCAACTCAGTGTCTTCCATCACTCTCACCTCCTGCTGTAGTAGGAACTCCTTTACAAAGGACAATGATGATATGGTCTTGGTCTAAACACTGGGGCAGCATGGTAGCTCAGTAGTTATCACTCCTACCTCACAGTGCCAGGGACCTGGGTTCAATCCCACCCTGCAGTGACTATCTGTGTGGAGTTTGCACATTCCCCCTGTGTCTGCATGCGTTTCCTCCCATAGTCCAAAGATGTACAGGTTAAATGGATTGTCCATGGACAATACAAGGTTACAGGGGTAGGGTAGGATAGGGGATGTGGGACTGGGTGGGATGTTCTTCAGTGTGGACTGAATGGCCTACTTCCACACTGTATTGATTCTACGACTGCTTCAAAACTGACTGGAGCATTCTGTATAATGCTGAGTTCCCCTCTCTTTAGGAAGGATGTGAAGGCATTTGAAACAGTAAAAAAGATTTCTGAGAATGGCTTCAGTGATGAGGGTGGACTAGTGGAAGCTGGAGTTATTCTCTTCAAAGGCATTTGAGAGGGGGCTTTGATTGCGATAATCAAAATCAAGAGATGTCTAAAAGGAGTGGGTAAACAGTAGCTGTTTCCATTGGCAGATATCAGATCACTATTGAAAGATAAAGCATTTTCAGGCCTATAGGAAGAACAGGCAAGGGTGTAAGACTCGCTGAGTAGCTCTTTCTCAGAACAAAAGCAAGTCTTTGTAGTGATGATCAGTTTTAAAACTAAAACAAACAGGGAAAAAGAACACTTCCCAAATGTGGGCCAAATCGTGGAACAAATGATAATGTGAGATAACTTCTCATGTTTGCTGCATTTCCTATCGACAAAGTCAAATTGCTGACAGCTTTAAGTTGCTGATATATGTCCAGTTCTGATTCCAGTAAACGGGGATTGGAGTTGTTGAGAATTGATCACAGTCTGCCATATCAGGTTTTACGGCAGATAGGAATACTGGTATGTGGATACTCAATCAAGTCCCAGAGATTTGTTTTAAGAAACAGGATTTCAGTAGAAACTGGAGCTTCTGGGATGCTTTCTTTATTGCAGTAGTCTTCCAGAGGGCACGGTGATGGGTTTTTTGCTGTTTGTGAATCATCTACTTATGATTCAGATTTAAATGTGGGAGGCATGATAGGGAAATTTGTTGGGTGACGCAACAGTTTGTCGTGTAATAGATTATGAGGACGTTGGCTGTTGGATGCAGGGTCCTATCAGTGCCTGGTGGTATAGATGGAAAAATGGCAAATGGAATTAAGTCTAGAGAAGTGCAAGGTTAGGTATAGGGCAGGGCAAACAAAGCAAGCAAACACATGAGGTTATTGAGATGCGTAGAGGAAATGTGAAGTGCATGTCCACAGGTCCCTAAAGTCAGCAGCACAGATTGGTAAGTGGTTAAGAAGGCACATAGGATGCTTTTCTTCATTGTGTGTGGTTTTTTGAATGCAAGAGCAAGGAGGTAGTGGTGAAACTATATAAGACATTACAGTTTCGGTCACTGCTTTGAAAGGTAAAGTCACTATAGTCCTGTTCTGTCATGAGAAAGAGAAACAACTGGTGGGGAGTTCAGCCTAAGGGCCATTACACCTCAACTTGATAAGATAGGACCTTAATTATAACCTCAGGCTGTGTAGGAATTGAACCCACACTACCAGCGTCACTTTACATCATAAGCCAGCTGTCCAGCCAATTGAACTAACTAGCCAGCACATTGCATAAAGGATATAATTGCTTTAGAGAGAGTACAGAGGAGATTTACAAGAATGTTGCCAGGATTTGAAGGCTCCAGCTATGAGGAGAGATTGGGTAGGTGAGGCTTGTTTTCTTTAGAACAGAGGAAGATGAGGGGTGATTATTTGATCAGTACAAAATAATGAGGGGCTTGGATAGGGGAGACAGGGGAGACTTACTATCCTTCCAGTGGATAAGTTAATTACCATGGGGCACAGATTGAATACAATTGGTAGAAGGATTAGAGGAGACATGTGGAAAATGTTTTCGCCCAGAGCTGGGGAAGTGATGTGTGTCTGGAGCCCTCTGCCCAGTTCGTAAATGAGTTGGAAAATCTCAACTCACTTAAAATGAATCTGGGTCTGGCCCTGAAGTACTGTAACCTGTAAGGTTAAGAACTGGTACTATTCATGATATTAAGTTAGGAGGCTAGTTTTTTTCAGCCTGTCAGACACAAAGTGCTGTACCGTCCCTAGCTAATGTTTCTAAGGTTGATCTTTACATCAATGTCACTGTCTCTCCTCATCCCCATATCACACGATTCTCTCATTCCTGAAGCTCTCGCAATGTCAGTCCTAAATATTCTTACTAACTGAACTTTCATAGCTCTCTGTGATGGAGAAATTCAATGGTTCCTAACTCCAGAGTAAAGAAATTTCACTGACGTCATTATCATATCATATCATTATACATCACGACCTTTCTACATTCTGAGCATATCTCACTATTCTATAATGGCTAGAGTAAAGCTTCCCAAATATTCTCCCACTGTGATCATAGCTTGAAGCTTAAAAATTTTCACATTCTCTCAGAGAGAAGTGAAAGACTGGGGTTTGGAGTGGAGCAGGATGTGAGATCATGTGGACTATCTCGAACAGGGGGAGAGGTCACAGCTTGCAATCTCATAACCTCAGCTCATGACCCCACATGGGGTCCCGGAGTGAACCATGGTCGAAAGAATTGAATGCATGGAAGGATGAAGTGCTACCTCATGGCAAGAAGAATAAAGGGAAACATGAAGGATTGAATTCTCAAAGAGGTACAGAGGTAGAGAGACCCCTGGGCTCTATGGGCACAGATTGTGGAAGATGGTGGAGCAGATTGAGGCAGCAGTTATAAAGGGAGATTTGTAAATAAATACTTTGAAAATGAAATGTGACACAAGATTTGAACACGCACAGCACAAAATTCATGGTGCAGATTTTTTTCTTATTCCACTGTCACCAAGTCCTCACAAACATTAGGAACTATGTACATGAAATAACTTAATTGGACTGAAGCATATCTTTGTCAGTCAGCTGGTCCTTCCTATCAACCCTGGGTGTGGGACCAGCTGAATTGTTCTTTCAAAGAGTGTATTGACATGACAGATTGAATGGCCTCTTAGTGTATTGTAACCAATTCATGATTCTAGAAATAGAACATAGAACAGTGAGGCACAGTACAGGCCCTTCAGCCCACTCTGTTGTGCCGAACTTTTACCCTAATCCTAAGGTCTATCTAACCTCCACCCCTACCTTATACTATCATCCATATGCCTATCTAATAGCCGCTTCAATGCCCCTAATGAGGCCGATGATTAATCACTAACAGAAACATAGGGAGTAGGAGCAAGAAAAGTTCACTTGGCCCTTTGAGGCTTCAATATGATCATGACTGATCATCAAACTCAGTACCGTGTTGCCACCGTCTTCCCATACCCTTAATCACTTCTGCCTTAAGACCTTTCTCTAACCTCTTCTTGAAAATATTCATTCTCCCCATCATTGTCCTAAACTCCAGTAAAACACTACTAACCCAAAAGGGTTCTGTTGAGCTCAGTAGGATGTATGGCTGATTTATGATGCAGCGTGACCCCAATAGCATAGGTTCATATTCCCAAACTGGCTGAGGGTACCATGAAGGATTCTCCTTCTCAACCTCTCCCCTTGCCTGAGGTCCCCCTTGTCTATGACTCTCAGGTTAAAACACCACAAATAATCTCTCTCTTTCTTTAATGGGAGAGCAGGCCTGTGCTTTGGTAAGATCATGGTGACTTTACATTTCAGTCCTAATCAATTTCTTCATGTGTCCTGCTTTCTGGAGATAATGACCCAAAGTGCCAGATTCCCCAGTCAGGAGAAACAGCCTCTTAGTGTTACGTTCCCAAGCCTCCTGCAGCCAAATCTTCAGGCTTCACTAAAATAAGCCCAACATTCTCTTCATCCCCAGTCCTCACTCTCTCAATGTTCCCTGACAGAATGG